GGACAGACAGACACACGTACACTGTGCTTTATTATTATAGCTATGCCATGGAACATTCTCAGATTGTTAGTAAATCAGAGTAACCAGGCTCTGATCATCTTGATATTTGGAGGTGTATCCATAAACTGTGATAGTGGCTCTTGGGCCTTGTACTGGGTGATCTTTAGTAAAAAACAAAAATAAAAAAATAATTGTTTAGGTAATAAATAATAGAAAATAACTGTCAAATATTTATAATATTAATTTTTATTATTATTATAATCATTGTTGTTGTTAAAACAATTTTTTAAATGTTAAATAATAGAAAATAATGAATAGCAATTAACCTAAAGAATAAACAAATAGTGACCATAATAAATAAAAATAATAAATATAGAATATAATAATAATATAATAAAAAAAGAGTAAATTTATGGGTAAATAAATAAATAATCATCACTTCCATTATTTTCTTGGAAAAATGAAAGATTTCTGGTTACTGTCATTTTAGCAGCATATCCAAGATGGTGATGGTACGGCAATGCCAGGTGCAGGGCTTCCTAGACTGAAGTCTGCAACTCTGGTAGAGAGTTTCCCTTATGAAATCAATGGCCACATGTCTATTTCCAGGTGTCATTTTACTTTGGCCTTGGTCATTGTTGTATCTTTTCTTTTCACTCTTTTTTTGGTGGTCCTGAACAAAGCCTTAGTACTCTTGCTCAGTTACTTGTCATCCATTTAAAAAAAATAAAAACAAGTCTACTTTTTTTTTTATTTTTTATTAATTTTTGCTGATCATATATACGTGATGGCCACCATCACAATGTTGATATACACTCACACTTGTGCATACACATACTTTCAATTCAAGAGCTATGAATTAAATTAACAGATAACAAATGCCTTTCAAAATGGCTACTGTATTCATTCTTTATAATGCAATTCTCACTTTATTAAGCACAGAAGGTTTGAAACACACTACATCATCTGAAGTTTATTATGAGCTATTAAAAAGATTAAAAAAATTAACTTTATATTGGGCCATTTAAAAAGGACAACAGCTGAGGGAGTTCTGCTATAAGCCTATACATATGGTGGCAATAACATGTAAATTAACATTGCAAGTTCACTCCAGCCAACCAAATGCAGATATTTATTGATCTGTTTTAGAGTATGATCACTGTACATAGTTGTTTTGGTGATACAAACAAACAAAATTGCCAAAATATTATACTTGTGCATAACATTAAATCCTGCTTCCATTTTGGTTTCCAACAGTTTACATGAATAAGTATGGTAATTATTGTCTGAAAGTCAAGTGAATGTAGTTTAGAAGAAAATAAGGACACAGGATATAAACATGTAAGAAAGTTAAATCAATACTTCATTTTTATTTATTAAAATGATTTTATACAAAACTTAATTCTCATGTCAAGATGTTTTTATATCTGATATGAATTAATGGAAAGGAAAGATTAATCAGGACAAAAAGAAAAGCATTTTTAACATTTCCAGTTGGAATGATTGTGTTAAATATATCAGCCTTCACAATTATTTTATAAATTTTCAACTTATTTGTATGATATAAATTGTACAATAAAATTTATTTCATTCATTATTTAATTAATTTTTTATTACAAGTAAGAATTCAAAATACCATCTTATTTTCTGAAAATTTCTAACATCAAATAGTTTGTGCACAGAAAACAAAACTTTATGATATCACAGTCTCACAGTATATCAAATTGATTTATTCATTATTTTTGCAACTAACTTAAAAATCTGGAGAAAATCAAATTGATTATATTCACTTAAATTGCAACGATTGTATTTCCACCAACCTTATTCATCTCTTAGGCATCTTTTCTTTGCTATGAACATGCATGTTGGACATGTTTTTTGTTTGTCTGTCAACCAGTTCATTTGGGAAAATCAATACTCAGGGTTCATTGAAGACAAGGTCTTAATTGTAAATAACATGCCATGCATGTTTATTTTTTAAAAAGATTGGTACAGCAGCAAGAAGATAAAATAAAACTGTGGTTTTACCAGATTTAATAAAAGTTATATTCCATTTCTGCCTTCATCAAAAAATTAAAATGGTAGAAATATTTAATTGGTATAATTGGACACAAATCCAGATGGAGAGAAATAGGGGGATTTTTTTTAAAATCATTTCACTCCAAGTAAGGTGATAATTCCATTGACACAATTTTACTCCTTGAGGGCAGATTTTGAAATAAGATGAAAATTACAATGAAGAATTGTTCAAAGTGATTTTATAATTCATCATGTAACAGAGAAACAAAAATCAAGAGAAAACAGTTTTCAAGGCATGCCAACAACAAAATCAAAAATTAAATGTAAATATTCAGTAACATAAAAGTAAAAAAAAAAAAAAAAATAACAAAAACAATGAGAAATGTTTCAGGAATTACAAAGCTAAAAAGAAAAAAATGTGAATTTATTTCTTGTATTATTTTAATCATTTTCATCACAAAATAAAATCATATATGAACAAAATATCTTCACTTGAAAGGTTTAAAAAATAAAAATTTGTATATACTTGTTTATACTTTTATAAGATCATGTCATATAGTCATGCATATTTTAAATCTGTCTAGACATGCATACATGCAAAAACAGAGAGAGAGAGAGAGATCAATTGAGTTAATGATTTGCACTCATCATTTATATAAAAAAACAGAACTTTGTTGGTATTCTTAATAATTAATCTAATTCTTTTAATTCAGTTATATGAAACTGATTAGCAGTTACTTTATTAAACATGTAATATGATTAATAAAATTCAAAACAAATGAAATGAATAATGATCATTGTTATCATTTTTAGACACACATTTCTTTTATCCTAATTACACTTACTTTCCATCTCAAATATTTGGACCATCATCCTTCAGGCAAAAACTTATTCTTGATATCTAATTTGTGCTGTTTACTAACAGTTGTAGAGCAAAGGTCAGAGTTGTGATAAAAAGCAACTAAAATTAGGATGAAAGAAATATTAGTAAAAAATTAACAAAATCATTTGTTCATATATTAAAATGTTATCAGAAAATAAAATTTGTTTAAATATTTAAACAAGTGATTTCAACACACTGTGTGATTTCAGGTTGTTTAACATGAAATTGCTAATTTATCGAGATAAAATAAATGACAGAACTTCAATAAAAACAAATTCACTCAATCAAAATATTCTTTCTGAGCCTCTATACATTTTTCCATCTTGGTTTTTCCTTCTTAAAAAAATTCTTAACTCAAAGAAATGATAAATTCAATTTGATTCTGACTGAAGAAATTCTTGCTTATATGGAAGCAGTCTAGATGCTTAAAAAAAAAAAAAAAAAAAAAAAAAAAAGAAAAGATCAATAGAAAAAATTTTTTTTTATTGTTGGTGCAATAAAGTTTTTAATTTTGATAAGTCTTTAATAATGTCAAGTTTAGAACATGAAGACATGCATAATCAGACAGAAAAATGTCAGCTTTATTCAGTAAAAATTATGTACTGATTGTTTAAGTTTTGAATGAACACTCAAGCTGGTTGATATATCTACTCTATATTAACTGGCTACTTTAAAGGAAATTATCTATCAAACACTTACCATAGACTTCCCGGCATGATAGTGACATATCTGTTTTACCCATAAAACTAGCTATATTGATTTGAGCTGATTTTTGATGAGTATAAATTATACAAATTTATTAAAACAAAATATTTTTTCATTACAGGTGATGATACTATGTAAAAATTAATCAATTTTATATCCCTGGACATAATACAGTCCTTTAAACATAATATTTGTTCCCTTTCAATTTAAATGGAAATCATATTTTGAGATATTTACCTTGCTGAATACTCTTAAATGATTTGAAATGGTTCCAATGAATACCTTGGAGTTTACAAGTTCTGAGTTTTTATTTTTCAATTCAACATTCCAATCTTCATTATCATAGATAATTTTCATCGACATTTGCCTTCTTTTCTAAACTGAAATATCAACTTACAAATTTTTAAAACCAAAGTCTATCAACAAATAATAGCATTATTCTCAAATATCGAATGGACATTCCTTAAAGTTATCATTTTTCCTCAACTTAATATTTGTATACATAATAAAAAAAATTGTTGAAAAAGTTTTTGTATTTTTGCCTATGAAACAAAAGAAGAAAAGTAAAATTTAATTAAATTAATTTTTCAATGTAAAATAAATAAAAATCAAGATATTTTGAAAATAAGATGAAAATAATATCTTTTTTTTTTAAATAAGTTAAAATGGTAGGCTCATAACAAAATCTGAAATTTCATGTTGGACAACCTAACATTTATTGGATAAATATGCTTTTTTAGGCAGGGAAAAGGTTTTAACAGAAAGATATGAACTATGAATTTATAAAAGATAAAATTTGAACAATAAATAAAAAGTATAAATGATTACAAAGATGATATTAAATCTTCTGAGACAAAATTTTCAATAACAGCATATCTTAAGAATGATTTACACTGACTATAGAAATAATTTTCTTAGCTTAGTAGTGTGATATCAATTCTTTTTAATCTTAAGAAATTATAATGTTTTAAAATTTTTTAAATATCAAAGGGAAACCATAAACTTTGACCAGTTTAAAATGTGTCTAGTGCTACAGACAAATGTAGAAGAGTTTCATTTGGAATAACACACAAAGAAGGCCCCTCAGTATGCAGAGATTTATTTTTAATTACTACCATTGATTATAAAGAGGATCAGTAAGTGACAAGACATTAATATAACACAAAATAATTAAAGAGATTAAAAATAAAATAACTATTAGATGAGTAAGGACAATGCCGAGATACTGTTAAAGGAAGGCACACACCAATACAGTTCAAATTAAGAGATTTAAGATTTTAAATAAAGAGATATCAAATTTAAAAGATCAATGCTTAATGTTTTCTACTTGTATTAAAGAAGTCATTGAGCATTTATTTATGGCAACATGTGCAGCAGCAACACTGATGCTTACTTGAGGTGTAAGAATGGGGCAAGAAATCTGTACTGGTAGTGCCACATGTTGGGCTTGTACAGTCAAGGAAGATGGAGTGGTACTGAGGATATAGCAGACCAGCAAAAACATATCGGTAGGTTTAGATACTTTGCTGAAAAAAATAAAAAACAATATGGAGAAAACAGACAATAAGAGTCAGGAGCGATTTTTAAAATGGTTTCTTCTTCTTCTTCTTGCCAATAGTATATCTATAGTTGCTAATGCAATAATTTACTACATAAACTTAAATTTCTGCCTCTATTCTGAGACTTAGTATTCATTTTAATTAAATGTTGAAAAATCTATACATTGCCCAAGTTTTGGCAGTTAAAGATTTTAGGATTAACTATTTTGGGGAAAAAATATCAGCAAAATGTTAAGTAACAAAAACATAGGGATAAACAGTATCTACAGTCAGACTGATGTCCTCATCTTTGGTGTTACTATCACAACATTTTGGGCATTGTGACCTCTGGCATTCTAATTAGTAGGGGAAGGTAGATTGTTCTTGTTCCAAAGTTCACGGATATCTCATCTTGTAAATTTTTTTAGTACTACTTAATTGTTTTTAGTTCTGTCTCCACTGAGTCTGAATCTGTACTACTATTTTCTACAATAAAACTAGTATTAACCAACCCCTCTTGTTAAAATCTTCAGGATGTACTTATGTTTATATGAGCAATATATTATACATGTTTCAGTTTATAATATCTATCCTTATTAAAAATAATGATAACTTATTTTATCAGATTTTATTAAGCAAAGTACAACATAAACTTTTATCTCTCTTACATATATGAAGAAATATAGTCTTAAGGTGTGCTATATTTATGGGATAAAGTGCTCAATATCAGAGATATAGCGTGTGTAAATATAAAAGTGAACATTGAAGTCAACACTTAGAGGTGACAGGCTGTTTCATGCTAGACGCAATCATCAGACCACGAGTTATTTTTTTTTTCTTGGCTATTTATATATACGGGTCAGTGGTGCATTGTGGGTAGTCTATTTTGCTGGTTATTTTGTTGGAAGTCGTTTATTTATTTATTTGGGTTAAATTATTTTGCTTGTTTTTATTTATTTTTATTTCTTATCTTAAATATTTATTTATTTATTTATATTTTAATTGGTGTTTTATTAATGTAGTAAAAATTTGTTTATATCACTTATTTAATAGTTTTCTTTTGGTTTGGGAAGATAATTAAAGCTATTTATTCAATTTTGGGGTTGATTGCTGTAGTTTATTCTATTATTTTGGCAGGAGCAGTTTTTAATCTGTTTATTATTTCATTTATTTATTTGGATTGATTATCTTTACTTGTTTTTTCTAACAGTTAATTTATCAGGATCAGTTTGTTAGTTTGTTTATTTATTTATTTGGATTAATTTAGATTAATTTATTTTACTTGTCTTTTATTATTTATTTATTATACTGTATATTTTTATTTACTCTTTTCGGTTTTCAATTTTTAAGTAACATAGTATTTTTTTTATCGTTATATAACAGTTATAGCTATGTTTTTGGTTTGATTTTTATAGTCTAACTAATATTTTGGTCATAATGTTTTGTTAATTTGTTTATTATTTACTTTATTTGGGTTCATTGATTTTGTTTTTTATTTATTTATTCTATTTTGTCTATTCTAACGGATGTGATTTAGTAATTTGTTTGGGTTAATTTATTTTACTTATTTTATTGTCATTTTGTTTATTTTTTTTTTTCAGTTTTCAATTTTTAAGTAACATAGTAAAAATTTGTTTTCATGTCTGCATTTTGAGATGAGCTCGGATCATTTATTTAATAATTTATTTTGATCTGGGAAGGTAATGATAGCTATTTTTTTCCTCCAAGCAAAGTTTGCAAGTTTTGGATTGGTTGTTGCAGGCTGATGATCTTTTCCTTATTTTCTAAGATATTTTTAGTGTGATGTGCATTTTGTTTTTAATTTCCCAGATATACTTAGAAAGCATTGTGCTGTTCGCGTATTTACTATTTGTGAAAGATGTTTTGTGTGCATAATTTCTTTGTTTCCAGGGTCCTTCAGTTAATCCTATGTATACTTTTTCTTCATTATCTGGTGATTTTATTGTGGCTTGGTATATTACATTGTTTTGTAAGCAATTACCATTTAAGTGACATTCATTCTTTTTTCTGAAGTTACACATGGGTTTAATTTGTTTGTGTGGTTTGTTGATAGTTTTCCTGTTGTGCTTTTTTATTATTTGTGCACTGTTCTCGGTGCAATTGTAGCTGATTTTTACTGTGTTTTTGTTGAATATTTTGTGTAGGGTGCTTGATTCCAGGAAGTGTTTGTGTAAGAGTTTGAAGAATAATTTTCAAACTCTTCACAAACACTTCTATTGAATATTTTTGAATTGTAACATATAAAAACAAAACTCAATAAAATAAGTCATTATTTAATTAGAAAAGTTTTTAATAGCTTTTATGAATATATTTTAAGAACATTATTATCATTATTATCTGAAGCCAAAATATTTTTCTGATGAAAAATGGATTTTTACAATAATTGTTTTCTTTTTTTTCAATTTTAAAACAAAACATGATAAAGTTATTAAATATTTTAAAAATTAAGTTTCAGTCCATGCAGTTTAGGGAATGCTGTTATTAAGTAGATCTATCTTTACAGAGCCTGCATAAAAACTTTTCTTTTTCCAAATATATAGATGATTGTAAGTGAAAAAATATATATTAACGCATTAAAAAAATTTTCATAAAAATGCTCTCATTTTTATGAATTTTTTTTTAATGTGTTAATATGTTAATTTTCTTTATTTTTAATATTAATTTTGTTTCCATCCCCAGAACTGAAACTAAAAAAGAAAATAGTCACAATAAGTATGTCTCTCACTGAAAAAACAATAAATTAATTATATTTAAAAAATTAAATTCAAATATTTATTGAAATAGGATGTTAAAAAAAAATAAAATTGCTGAAAGTATTTGTTAATTTTTAAAAAATACTGTGTAGTTAAATTAGTTTACTTGAGATTCAAAAAATTATGTCTTGTTCTTCCATCCGATAAGTTCCCCTTACCTAAGTTGTCAATACATTGACTTAACTGTCAGTTAACACCTCCAAAACAAGTCATTCTGGTTAACACACATGCTTTTTAATGGTATTCCACTGATAAAAAAAAAAGGAAGAAAGAAAGATTTTTTAATCAAAATTTCGAATGTTCTAAAAAGGATAAAAAAAAATTAATAAAATAATCAAAAAATACTTTGCCCTTTCCTCTTAATAATAACATAAACATTTAGATGATAAAAAACTTTCAAGTTTGGGACCTTTTTTTCATCATGATATGCTCTTTTTCGGCAAATTAGTGGAGATTCCTAAGACAATATCAATTCGAATTGCAATGAAAAGCAAAACTGAAATCAAAAATTTAATAAAAAATTGTTTTTTAAACCTTTCACTACATTCAATATTGAAATCTTTAAATACATAATCTATCAGTTGGGCAGATATATTTCCTCTAACAAGGCAATGTGGTGCATCCTAGGTTTTAAAATGCACGAGCAGCATCCAACAGTGGTAAATCAAGCTGTTCATCTTGAAAATGGCCAACATATATATATATATATTTCACAGAAGATACTCCTCAAAATGTAGTTGAGAATACTCCAAAAATCACTGACTGCCTTCTTCAAATTATGCCAAATTGACTAATTTGCCTGAACACTGAGGTATGTTGAGGCTCCCATCTACTACATCTGGGCACACAATAGATGGAGCAGGCGCAAACAAGGAGCACTGGCTGGGGCTGGGAAGAAAATGCTGTCTTCAGAAATAGGACCATCAGGCAGGTGTACACTGTGCACGCCAATCAGCAGCAGTGCTGCTTTCTGTGTCTGCTGCTGGATACTGTCAGAGGTCTTACATCATTTACAGACCTGTGAAAATATAATGGAGAAGTTTGTACGACCTGCAGAGAAGCCTGCACTAAACATGGACTACTGGAGGACGATGCCTACTGTGACCAGACACTGGGGGAGACAGCTGTCAGCAGAGCATCAAGTCAACTGCACCAGCTATTTTCCATCAGGTTGATGACATGTGGCTTAGGTGATCCTCTTTGGGTGACCCTCAAAGCCAGCATGGCAGAGGACATCCTATGAAGGATTGAAAGGTAAAATTCAGCAGAAATTATCACATTTAATGATGCCACTTATAGTGAGTCATTAGTTGACCCAGATACCCAAGTGCAAGCTATGGGAGGCCAAGGAATTGCCACCTCAATCTGAACAGGCAGCAAACAATCTTGCAATTGAGTACGTGGGAGAACACGAAGGAAATGACGGCATATATAGCTGATAATGAACAGAAACTGATGGAGGACCAACAGGGTGTTTATAACACAACTATTTTGAGCATTGAAGGTGAAAGAGAAGATCTATTCTTCCTCAGTTCCCCAAGTGGAACTGGCAAATTGTAAATTTATTTTAACACTAGCCCTCATAAGGGCTATATTCTCCATGAACGCACAAAAGACCTTTTTCAGGGTTACTTACTTTGAATTGTTACTTTTGGATAATCAATAACATAAATGATTAACACATTATCCCGTATAGCTGAAGAAATTACTGTTTTACCATCTATTACTGTTCAATATGAACTCCTTGGTATTCTATAATCTTCATCAATCTTTCAATCATTGATTATGTTAACTTATCTACTTTCTTTATTTTAATATTACTTGCTGCAGTTTTTATTGCTTCCCAGAGACCTTCTTTGATTATGTTTTCCGTTCTCAAACATTTTTAATGATAGACAAAAAGTTTTCTATTGGATTAATATTTGGTTAGGCTGAAAGCTATTAATTTAGCATTTTTAAAATCGTTTTTGGCAAAGTGTATAGTCAGCTATACAGAATATGAATGAACATTATTTGACATGAATATATTTAAAGCTGCTTTACTACTAAGCAAAAAAAAAAAAAAAAACATTTTTAAAATATTTTCAAATAAAAATTCTTCAAATATTTTCTTGCTCATCAATCCACTTTTCTTACCTTATTACCACTTTCATTTTTCTCAAATTTCTTTTTGTGAAATTTTTAAAGCCAGT